AACGGCGGCGACGAGATGGTGGTGTGTACGCGGGGGTGATGGGACGCGGTCCACACGCGTTGCTGCATAAAATTGCAGAGCCCAGCAGCAGCAGCAGCAGCAGCCAGCAACGCGGCGCCACCGAGCCGAGATAGCTGCAAACAGACGCGAGTTAATTTAAAAATGCAAATTCCACCACTAGGTCTCTCTGCCGCTCTGAGGGCGGACACGGCCGGGGAAAAAAGAGAGCGAGACCGGAGAGGAGAAGAAGAACGAGAGAGTGGAGAGGGGAAAAAGCGCAGCGCGAGAGAACACGGCGAGTAACGCGCTGAGAGAAAGGGAATTTTGCTATTTACGGTTGCGTCATAAATCATAGCGTAGTGAATGTCTGTCTGATTCGCGGCGCTGCGTGTGAGCTTTATTTATACGTCGTCCAATTTGAGCAAGTCCGCGATTGCGAGATAGTACGCTCCTCCCGAAAAATTCGACGAGGACAATCCGCGGTAGAAGTGTGGTAAACCAATGCGCGGTGCGTTTGTATGAATAAATAAAAGGAAATACGCTAGTGTATACACACATCCCGCGCTATGGGCGCTTCTATGATTAAAATTTGCGCAAGTATAATTTAAATAAAATCCCGTATATATCTGGAAAGATTTGCCCGTGTATATGTGGGAGCGCAATATCGACGAATTTGTTTTCGTCGAGGGATGCAGGTATCGATTTCGATAAAGTCACGTAAAAAAAAAAAAGATCGGCCGGACGAAAACACGTGGCCGTATCTGTGTTGCCGCGTCGGTGATAAAAATTCACGCGCGCGAAACACTAATTGCCGGTATGACGAATGCACCGGTTGACCCAGTGACACGTACGCGCCGGATTTCGCGAACCGATTACCGCTGCCATGCCGTCCCGCGCGATCATAAAAAATTCCATGCATTCGCGAGTAAGCTGCGACGCGCCGTATACCCAACGAGCCAACGGATGTCCGCCCCGAAATTACGCCCGCGATCCTACCATGAATCTCTCTCGGTAGCACGCGGGAGCGATTTCGGCTAATTAAATTAATCGTCCGGGGCGAACAGAGAAACGAAAATCACGATCGAGCATCGAATATTCAGGAGCCATTAGTCTCAAACGAGTTTGAAATCGCGGAACAAGTGTCAAGATAGTTTAAATGCCGCGGATGTTTATCTATTGGGTAATCGAGTTTGAAGACTTGATCGTACTGGAGAATCACACTCGTTCGAGATCTATCTGTGGTGTCATCACAATGGATGTTTCGAGTGGAAAGGTAAATACCATGAAACCGATAAGTCTAGTTGGAAACATGCTTGTACGGTCGTTCGTACGACGTCAGTCTCAAAGTTGAAATACAGAGAGCATTGTCTTTACATTTCTACCGTGCTTCGACGGTTGGAGTTTTGCCGACACGAGACGCATTAGTCGAACGTTTCTGCGTCGCGGCGCAAAACCCCGCAATGTCCGTCAACCACGAGCATCCTCCGCAGTCGACGGTATCGAGTCGTACCGATCCACGCGGAATCCCAATTTCCCGAACGTCTCTCGTTCCGGCGCGTTCCTTCGAGACCGGCGCGGTGGCGATGACGACGACACTGAGAGCCACTGGGTGCAATCTTGTACCAGCTGGGGTTTGCGGGGTCTTGGGAGACGCGACTTCGGCTCGTAACCTTCTCTCTCAGGGTCCTAGCCACGACGACGACGACGACGACGACGACGACGACGGTGGAGTGAGGAATAGGGAAACAGGCACCACAGGCAGGCAGGCGGATGGGGTAACGGGGGTGGATGGTTGGCCGACGTAGGGTGAGAGCGCACGAGTGGCAGTAAGGGGTGAGAGACGACGTAGAAAAGGGAAGAGGAGAGAAGGAGCTGGAGAGGACGGGTGGGTGGTCGGTCGGTGGCTTGGGATATATCCGTAAGGTTAGGGTGGTTGAGTCGAGACGAGGCGCCGTGGCGAAGGAGTTTTTTTCCCCCCCCCCCCCCTCTCTCTCTCTCTCTCTCTCTCTCTCTCTCTCGTCCTCTCACCCTTGAAAGAGCCACCCCTGACTGTACTTCGGTGCCTGCTGCTGCTTGCCAAGTTGCTTGCCTGCCTGCCTGCCTGCCTGCCTGCCTGCCTGCTTGCTTGCGGACCAAGTCGTCCCTAACACTACAAAGTCTATATATCTACGGTATACCCGCAGCTCCTCCTACATTCCGCCGCCTCCTCCTTCTATCTCTTCGTCTTCCCCTGAGGTACCAACCCCCATATTGATCGTGGCACGAATCCTCTTTGTGGGAGAGGGTGGTATGGATAGCCGACGGGATAGGTGTAAGTAAACTTACGTGAATGGAAGGCGGGCCGCGTGTATATCGTTTCTTCGCGGAGGTATCTATATACACACGCGTATGTATACATGTATTATGTATACGTATGCTCTGTACATATACCAACGTAACGCGAACAGGCAACGAGGAGGAAGTAAGAGAGAACAGAAATGGAAAGCTTTCGCGAAACGACATTGCGAGCTATCGGCGTCTCGTGACAGGGTGGGGGAGAAAGGATGCGCTTACCCCCGAAAGACGAGACTTCCGGGTACATACTTACTAGCGGTATCGACTGCGGACACGAGATGGTGTGTGTTTCCGCATGATTTTCCAGGGAACTAAATCCAGTCGCGATTTTCTCGAGAGAAATCGTTTTACCGTAGTTCTTATACTGATACTCCATCTTTCAGGAATATATTTTTTCTATCTTAATAATATTATATTTGTACATCAATAATTATTAAATATATTTTGTAGTTATTTTGTAATTGCAAATTCCACTGTTTCTCAACATACCCTGTTTCACTTCTCGTGATTTTATTGTAATTCGTCCTTATTTATAACGCGATGTCTATTACATCTCTATAAGTTCTCTATTATACCTACAAGTTCTCTTGTTATATCCCTTTTTTATGATTTTTGTAATTTTTAACTCGCTGTTTGTAAATATCACATAACATTATTATTATATATTTCGTAATACCATAAATCATTTTTTGTTTAAATAAAAAGTTATTGTGTATTCGTGATAATTTTAGACATGTGAAGTGATGCAATGATCAAAACCTTCGTCGAGAATGTGCTCCGCAAATGTTGCTTTTACCAGTGATAACGTTTGTCTAAATCATAAAATTTTTAAGCCATTATGGCTTATATTCTCGCGAACGCATGTCAAGCGTTGTTTTCTCGCCAGATTTTCCTTTTTCAACGACACGACAGTCATCTCATCCGCTTCAGTGGACTCTGGTCGGATAAGCAGTGACCGACCGTTTCCGGATAACGAGAGGACGTCTTTTCGGAGGAAAAAGATCCTTCTTTCTCTCTACCGGGATTCTTTCGCGAAGAAAACTTGAAAGAGCGGCACGTAATACGGCTCCCGGGGGATCCTTTTCTTACTGGGAATCTTTCATGACGTGAGCAGAGCGCGTGTTTGCGAGACTTCCCGTCTGCTCACCCTCTCCCAGCTCTTTTGTCTTCGCTTTTCTTCCCGTCGCTATATCGTCGTTGTGAACGAGAGAACACGCTCCCGCTCGATTTTTCCGCGTCGCAGGATTTCATACCTGTTCTCGCCCCGACTCTCCTCCTCTCTTCAGCGATTTCTTGACAGTGTCTGACAAGACACTAAGCGCGACACCGCTTATCCTCCGCGCGGCATGTAATTTCGCACGTTATAATCGCCCAGAGATACTCGCGTATTCATATATATTTCAAGGTTCCATTTTTCTTTTTATTTCTTTTCACCCGGAGTGTTTCGGTCGACAGGCGGGAGATGATACCAAGGCGTCGAAGTAATGGACCGAGAGAGCGAGAGAACCGGCATCGTCGGTAGTGGTGGATGAGGGACGAAGGGTAATTGAGAGAAGAGGAGATTTACTTCGACACTAGCAGCGGTGGCTGCGAGGGGATGCGACAGGGGTGGTTTACGGGTTTGCAAAGATGGGGAGCGCAGTTATCGGGGACAGGGAAAGGGCTTATATATATGTATATATATACATATATATATATATATATCAAGGCATGTGGACGGTGTTCCGATGCTCTGTCGGACGTATCGACGACGAAACTACCGCTCGTAAAGCTTCCGGTCGATGATACCCTCGTCTCGGTGTTTCTGAGCGAGACTTCAGTGAGCTTGCATTTTGCGAGAAAAAAAAACACCTTGTCACGTTTTATGAAGATTGTCAGCGTTGATGATCTTCCTCTTGATTTTACCCACTCGTGTCAAAACATGAAGAAGACAAGGTCGGGATAGCGATAAGCAATCTTTGTGTTGTTTATCGATGACTATATACAATTCTTATCTCACGTTTACGTTTCTTATATTAAAATTTAAAAAGTAAAGTCTTCTCGTCTTTTCGCTGATTAGGTTCTGGGGAAAAAGAGTTTGTCTCAATTCATATAAGCGATTATTGAAGAGGTGCGATGAAATAAAAAGGGATTGATAAAACGTCTAAGATATTCGAGTACTTTTGCATTCGGAATTGCGTGCCGATATTTTTCTCGGCACTCGTGCATAATACGATAGAAAAAAAAGCAGGATTCTACGATCCGCCCTATTATTCTTCGTTCGCCTCGAAGCGAAATGGAGGTCGTACGGGTGAAGAGGGATAAGTAATTCCGTCGATACCTCTTCCACCCGTCCGACGGGCAGGTCGTTTTATTTAATCGCGAAGGAGGAAGGAAGGAATTTAGTCGTTCAACCCTCCATCCGTCGACCATCCCTACGGTCGCAAGAAGTCCTTCGTCCCCGATACTTTTCCGTGAAAATCTATCGGGAGGAGGTAAAATCCGGCACGGTCCGTAAAAATCTCGAACGAATAAATCCTGTAAATCTCCGTAATCGGATTAACCGCGCTAGAGAGCGGATCGTATCTTTCGCGTTGATAAGGGATTCTATAAAAATCGTAACATCTCCTCGTTCAAACGGCTTCGTTAAACATTTTGTCGTTGAATGTCGATTATCTTTGTTACAGAGGAACTCGATATCTCCAGCGGAACGGGAGAAGTACAGACCGCGTAGCACACCCGATCCGCAGCACGAACATCTGCTGGGTAAGAAATTGAAGAAGGAACAGGACAAAGACATAGGCCATGTAAGTATCCAAGATTAGTGCTCCATGCTCCTCGATTCACGATCCGTCTTAATAAAGCCGTGCGTGTTCTCCCCGACAGCAAAGCGATGGTGAAAAGAGCGACCAAGACCTGGTGGTCGACGACGCGAGCGAGGGTCCGACCAGCCCGGCGGCGAATGGCACGGCGTCACCGCGAGAAAACGGTCTCGACAAGTTGGGCCCGTCGTCGGTGACTATGAGCGGCCAGGTCAAGAAAGAAGTACCACCGCCATCACCTAGAAGTGGTACTAGCAGTAATGCGAGCACGCCTTCGGCCAAAAAGATGGAAGAACGTGAGAAACCAACGACACCGATCTCGAAACCGGTCACACCGACGTCGGCAGGTACGCTGTTATTCAAGATATGTCGAAGTAAGAACAGATGGAAAGAAACAACGTTCAGGAAATAAGCGAGTTTAACTGGAATCTTTCTTGTATTAAGAATCTGGTCAATAGGTCTATTTGCGTTGCTTGCACTTTTTACACTTGGAATCTTTGCTTTCTCTCTTTTCAACGCCTGAATATATATTTATCTCGTTTTAAGCGCAAAAAGTTTTGGGAAAGCAAATCTATTAAACTTAAACTAGTATTCATAATTGATTCTTATCCTTACAGAAATATATTACTGACCAATTTAATATTTGCGAATTTAATACTGAAAGATAGTATAATTAATTAGTTATTTTAAGTATTAAAAGCACTGTTGTTCAGTACTTTTAATACTTCAAATAAGTAATTAATTACTGTCTTTCAGTATTAAATTGGCCAATATCGGATTTCTGTAAGAGAATATGTAAGATTATATTAAGATCATATATAAAATTTTAAGTACAGTTTTAAGATGTCATAAAACAATCATAGAGTCGTATTAGCATCTTAATACATTATTGAAGATAATCTTAGAATAAAAATGGACTATGAATACCAGCTCTATATTGCTGGAGCTCGACAAAACATGACGTATATCTGCGTGTGTATCTAAATTTGATACACATTATTGATCCATCATATTTTATCGAGATCAATAGGTTTATAGAAGATGACAACATTGGCTAGTTTCTTACTATAGCAAGGTATTTACTACCTAGAATTTTTCGAAATTTTTTGTCTATCTTTGAAAATCATGGATTTTCGTGGAATTTTATCGGTACTCAGAAATTTTTGGAATTTTATTTTTAAATTTAAACTCTGTCTCTTTCTGAAAACATTATTTCTTTTAATCTTTTTTTCTTGATATTACAAACTGTTGACAATCAGTTACCATTAAATATAGCATACACAGATATTTACGTACATTCGTGTATATTTACGTACAATCTTGTGTGCTCGCGAGTTTTTATTAAAAAAAAGTCAAGGTGACAATGGAAGATAATACTCAGCCGAATACAATAGCTGACTGGTACTATGTTGTAGTAACTCTTCTCTATATTGTCCTATATGTTTCGCGGCTTTAATTGTAGACAATAATAGATGTAATCTCGTGTTCTCGGAATCCCTATCTTTTACTAATTTTCAATATGTAATTTGTTTGTGTTGCTCCCAGTTCAATTCATTTCAAAGTTGTATTAAACATTTTTTTTTTAATTTTTTAATTTTGCAGCGAACAAAAATATCAGGAAAATTCAGGAATTCTTAGGGACTTTTTTACAAGATTTCAGTACACCTCAAGAATTAAGGACTCTATGTTTAACTGGTGATATCGTAGGTAGCAGTTCTGGCTCCGGTGGCCTAAAACCATCGAGTTCCAGTAAACCGTTAGTTTCGGCTTCGGTGGTCGGCCCTTATCCGCCGCACTATCCGCCGCCACATCATCCACCCGCAGGACCTCACGTGGACATGCTGGGCTATCCTCCAGCGGCACTCAACGGTGGTTACCCTACGAGACCTCCCCTTCAACAGCTTTATGATCCTCATGGCAGCATGAGAGCACCACTCGGACCGATCATTCCTCCCGGTGGTAAACCGTGAGTGTTCTTTCCTTTTCTAATTCGCTGCTTATCTAGGCGTCAGTTTATCAGTATATCGTTACGTTTTTACCGTTATATTAGCTGTATACTTTTATGAGATGACGTTTTTTTCGTAGCAGTGCCTACAGTTTCCACGTATCTAGCGAAGGTCAGATGCAGCCGGTACCGTTCCCGCAAGATGCGCTCATTGGCCAGGGTATTCCGCGACATGCGCGTCAAATAAATACGCTAACTCACGGTGAGGTAGTCTGTGCCGTGACGATCTCGAATCCGACAAAGTACGTCTACACCGGCGGCAAAGGTTGCGTTAAAGTGTGGGACATCAGCCAGGGTGGTAGTGCTAGTGCGAAACCCGTCTCCCAGCTTGATTGCCTGCAACGGGACAACTATATCAGGTCAGTGATAGTAACACGTGTCTTCATTCGCAATTCGTGACACATTAACTCTCGAACGCTACATGCGGTCGGTGTAATTAATTTCTGACTCTGAATTCTGGATGACATTTAGTCGTGTCCGCCGGCTGTATATCACGCCGAAGCGCGGCATCGATTTATCACATGCATTTTCCGTATGCATTTACCACCCTTCCCAATTCCCTCCTCGCGTACCGTAGAACATGAGCGACCATAGTAATTATTTAAAAGCATGCATAAGTGGCGGTATTTAACAGGATTAATGTAAAGCGATGCTCGATTGTTGTTATTAGATCGGTGAAGTTGTTACCTGACGGCAGAACTCTCATTGTGGGAGGCGAGGCGAGTAACCTCAGCATCTGGGACTTGGCTAGTCCGACACCGAGAATCAAAGCAGAACTGACCTCCTCGGCGCCGGCGTGTTATGCTCTAGCCATCTCGCCGGACTCGAAGGTCTGCTTCAGCTGTTGTAGCGATGGCAACATTGCCGTCTGGGATTTGCAGAATCAAACGTTGGTTAGACAATTCCAAGGTCACACGGATGGCGCCTCTTGCATCGACATCTCCGCCGACGGCTCGAAACTGTGGACAGGTGGTCTCGATAACACTGTGCGCTCCTGGGACCTTAGGGAGGGTAGACAACTGCAGCAGCACGATTTCACGTCACAGATATTCTCTTTGGGATACTGCCCGACCGGGGAATGGTTAGCTGTTGGTATGGAGAATTCGAATGTCGAAGTACTTCATGCCACGAAACCCGACAAATACCAGTTGCATCTGCACGAATCTTGTGTGCTATCGTTACGCTTCGCTTCGTGCGGCAAGTGGTTCGTTTCCACCGGCAAGGACAATTTACTTAATGCCTGGCGCACGCCATATGGTGCCTCGATTTTCCAGGTTAGTCGTTATTGCATATACAAATTGTTGATGGTTTTTTCACATCTACTTTGCACGTTTCGATTCGTTTATTATCACATTTTTCCGAGTATAATCATTTCTTTTTTTTTTTTTCTAGTCGAAAGAATCGTCTTCGGTGCTCAGCTGCGATATTTCTACGGACGACAAGTACATCGTGACCGGATCTGGCGACAAGAAAGCCACCGTCTACGAAGTGATATATTGAGCCACATATTGACTTGACAATACACTTCGATACAACATCGATTGAAGTTTCACGTGACATTAAGTGTGACTTATAACGGAGGAATTGAAAAAAGAAAATTAATTTTTTTTACTGCAAATGTGACTAATAATAAATGTGAATTTAAGGAACTACGAAATGCGAATTATAAAGTTTAACAAGAATTGACAAGACTTGGTCGATGTACTACGGTCGCTACATTCGACGGAAACCGAATTAAATTTCACATTTCTATAATCCCAAAAAACTAAATTATACTCGGGGTATAGTAAATAAAATAAATTGTGGGGATATATAAATATATATAAAGATTACGGCGCTTAGCTGTATAAAATTGTATAGAGCCTATAATCGTAAGTAGGATGGAGCGAATGGAATGTGAGAGAAAGAGAGAGAAAGAGGTAAACGCGTGTAAGTACCCTGCGTCTGTATTTAACGTGGGAGCGATAATGAAATCGCTTGTGTAATATGTTAACTGATGTAATATAGAATCTTTATAATTATAATTAGGTCCTTTTGCATGTGATCGTGATGGAAATTGAGTGAAAAATTAAACGCATTTCGTCGAGTGAGGTCGTTCTCTTGCAATCTAAGCATCGACGAAACGAACGGCGCCACGGCGAAATACCAGAATACGTACGGAATGCCGATCTAGTGTTGTAGACTTGTCAAAGTAGGGATGTATGTTGTGTCGCAGAATTATACATAATATATATTGAGCACATATGTAGACAAGAATGTTTACGTCATGTAGCGGAGAAACTGTAGGGCTATGAAAAACCGATAAGTATCGATTACGCTAACAGTGTTGGACGTACGCGATGCTGCGTTCGTTCGATATCGAAGCCAGCAATGTGATCTTTGACATTTCTACTACCGACAAGAGGAATAATTTGTACTTATTACACTTTCAGTTTTAAATACAATTCTTTTGTAATTATATGGCACTGTTACGTCTGCCGTTAAGACTTTATTGTAATTGAGATTTTATAAAACGTGTCGAGGGAGTAGGACGGTGATAAAACAGAGAAAAAGGAGGAAGGCGAAAGATACTTTTCGATCTTTTGCAGTAATTATGAAACTGGCTTTCATACGCCTATTACGAGCGGTATCGAATACAAATAGGAAACTCTACAAGTTGCGCGCCGAACGCGCACCGGATAACTTGATACAATGTACATTGTTTGCGAGTCTTGACTGCCATAATAGGCATATACATACTACGCACACGCATATACGCGTAAACAAACACGAGCGAGCGGACCACGTTCGTGGGCGGATTTTGCAGAATATTCGATAAAGTATTTTTGTGACTATTCATCGTGAGACCTTAGGCTTTAACCATCGAGCAAAACCGGTCGAGCGTGATCGACCACGCGCGCGTCTGCATCGACGACTGCAGAGACGGGACGATATTATGTAAAATGAGGCGAAACACTTGAATTCTTACACCGCCCCTTCGGTGCAGGTTACAAAGCCGGAGGTGCGTGCATCTGGACTTTTAGGGTACTAGCTAGCGCATTATTATTCGGAGGCCGTATGGTGAAAGCGGGTGATGCGTAATGGAGATTTATATTTTGTTACAGGAAGGCACATACATACACACACACACGTTGACATCTGCTGTGACCGTTCAAAATTCAACGCCACGATATTATAACTGCCGCGATAAGAACTTTGCAACTGCAAACGTGGTTAATATTCACCGGTTGAGCTGCGACATGCGAACTGGATTGAACGGATTTTCGGATTTTGGACAATCACAGCCCCCGTTCGTATAGACCAATAGAAACAACGATACCTCAAGAAGACTCAATAGTTAATTATCTCTAACTCATTGACTTGTACAGAATCGATATTCTTTTACAGTTGAATAACACACGCACCGTGAAAAAGAAAGCATTACGCGAGACAAAAAAAAGATCGCATAGCCGCGATAATGATTGTACCCTCTGCCTCTTCCCCATTTCCTCCCCTTTCCTAGCCCCATCCAGAACCGTTAATACGTTGAATTGCGTCTCCGTGCTCGCATTTTGCACTCCGCGAAAGCGTACCGAAAGCCGCCGTAAGAAAGAACATACGTTCGTAATAAACGGAAGACAGGCAGCGTTAATCTTTTTCCAAGCACCGTTCAAGTTGTTCCTATAGCTACGCGAAAATTGTTTCTTTCGGCAATTAAATCCTCTATATCTATATACCAGAGTTCACGTCATTGCTTTTTAGCCGACCTGTTCTCCCGATCCTCCTAATATTTTTTATTCCAATTTATTCCACAGAATGTTCAGTAAAGATATCGGAAACACTTTAATCGCGAAATCCGCGATTCTAAGATTTTCATTGTATATTCAATATTAAAGATGGTAATGTTCTGATCATTTTCACGCAATCTTTATTAGACAAATTTCCATTAATACCTTTAAATGTTGAAGATAAATATCAAAGCAAAAGTATATATATTAGAATTTAAAGATATTCGCCAACTGAAAACCCTTATAGAAATTTAATACTGTAAAATAGTGATTAATTTATTTATTAAAAGCACTAACAATACAAAATAAGTAGAAATAAAAGATAATATTAATTAATGGAGGTTCTAAGAATAAATTTAATTCAAGTAAGATGCCTACGTGAGCTTTTACGGATGTAGTGTGTAAAATAAATATTCTCTAGTCGATATAAAAAAATGACGACAGTAATATTATAATTTTGCACTGAATAATGTAACTGTTACATAACACATTCTAACAATACAAAATAAGTAGAAATAAAAGATAATATTAATTAATGGAGGTTCTAAGAATAAATCTAATTCAAGTAAGATGCCTACGTGAGCTTTTACGGATGTAGTGTGCAAAATAAATATTCTCTAGTCGATATAAAAATGACGACAGTAATATTATAATTTTGCACTGAATAATGTAACTGTTACATAATACATGTTACATGTTATATTACATTTATATTGTTGCATACGAAATTGTAACATTGATTTAGTACTTTTAGTTGTTGACTGAATGATAATACGATAAATATATAATAAAAGTTGCAGCCAATTGGGATCCACTTACCAAACAAAATTAAAGTAAACTGCGTTTACTTTAACTTTCTTTTATAAGTATACATCCCAATTGATTGTATTTATCACGTTATGAGTATTTAATTTACGCAACAACATTCGTGGAGGCTTACATAGAAAAATTTTGTTTATATCAAAATAAATAATTTTAACATTACATTGGATTTTTTAGGAAGGATTTTGTGCAAAAGATTATAATAAAATAATACAAGATGATATAATCTTGGAAAAACAATTTAGATTCGAGACCATTTCTAAAATGGAATTAGCTTTAGAAAATAAATTTATTTTAACATTTAGACTTATATTAATTCATCTATTGACTGATAAAAATTTTAGTAAAAAATCATTATTGAGGAGTATGCAGTATATTATTTGGAACGAGTTCATATAATTAAATAATTAAAAAGAACTGTTTGGAAAAAAAAAACCATCAATTTACTTCATAATTTTATTAAAGTTATTAGTATTCAACATTTTATCTCGCTTTTCATCGATTCATAGAGAAATTTCGTTTTACTAGATACGTAATGCAAAACAATGCGAAATAGAATGCACGTGCGCCGTGTTATGCACGTGCATTTTGTGTACTAGTAGGTGCTGCACTCTGCGGACTAGTCATCGAACTGCGTACTGTCGACGCATGCTGCGACGCTTAAATATGGCCGATAGTGAAGCCACGGGACAGTTTAGACAGTTACGAGGTATCTGTGTCCGTGACATTTTCGAAAGATAACTGTGTGTGCGGTGTAAAGACAGAAACTCGCAACGATGAACATGTCCGTGGAGAAGAAGAAGTACGCCTCGGCGTTGCCAATCAATTGGCCCGCGAGAGAAGAACCGAGGAAGAGTCAGAATCAGTTGGCATCCACGGGGAAGGTTGATTATTATTACAAGTAAGTTGAATGAATTCTCGAGAGAAAGATTCGTTCGATTTTACGGGGGAACGTGATGTGTGGATTCTCGAAGAGATCTTTAAGATCAAAAGTAATTTTCACAGACAAATACGCAGTTTCTCGAACGCTGAAGGTGATAACCTCGATGACAGGCCATCTTCTCTATGTACTAACGATGCGGCTCTTTTTTAGCCGCGGTGTCAGGAACGACGCGTCGTTGGTGCCACCAATCAGACAAACAGCGTCGATTTTTAAGCAACCGGTAACGATTTACAAGACGCAGGAAGGGAAAGTGAAAGATATCAAGCACGGCACTCAGGAGAAGCCAAAGCAGGTTAGTTTGCGTAACGATCACAGCTGATTGTATGTATATGCTAATTAGACTGTCAAACAGTTTGATGTGTCAATGAGTCGAATCTTTTTTACTACACTATATCCCGTCTATTCACATATACGATATCTAGTAGTTGCACACTTTTAATCTCTAAATATGTTCACGGATTATTGTCTCACATTATTTGTCTTGGAGATCTTTCTAATCCCTGTACCATGCCTGCGAGATATACTTTGTCTGCTTACACCCATTCACTTGTACTGTTCTTTGTTAGCTATCCTTGTAAATTCACAACTGTCAAATCGTTGCTTTAGGAAGGAGCCGATAAAACTGATGGCAAGTATGGCTCCCAAGATAAGCCTAAGCAGGTAACTTTGAACATGCAATCATGAAATCGTCTCAATAATTTTTTGCTTTTTCTGTTATATTTTCAATAGCAAATGTGATTAACTACTAAATTTTAATAATAACATTGAAAGCCAATCTTTTTAATATTTAAAAACAATTGGAGAAAAGTATCTTATAGTTTCGCCATCCTTAATTTAAATAAGATTCTGAGTTAATTGGTGGTGGTTGGTGGTGGTACTTAATAGAAATGTTTATATACTCAAGTTCAAAGCAATAATTCAATTTTAATACAATTTTCATGTAATGAAACATTTTGTAGCTTGGATTATTTTTCTCAGTAGAATAGTATGTGATGAGTAAAATGATCAATAGATGTTAATTAAAATTTTTATCTTCCAGCTTTTCTGGGAGAAACGTTTGGAAGGACTACGGGCATGTGATCCCGACGGTTATGAATTTGATGGAATGGATCTGCCAAAGAACTTGAAACCAGTAGGACCATATATTACAGAAGAAACATTGCTCCAAAGCGTGGCCACTGCATTACACGTATCTACTCAGCCAGTCACGGGACAAACGGGATCAAAGACGGC